CCTGGTTTAGCTGGAATAGCTGGTTTTAGCTGGACTCCCAGCTTGGCTAGGCTGGTCAAGCTGGTTTTAGCTGTCATCTCCCAGTCTGACCAGCTACGACCAGGCTGGAAATGGCTGGAAACCAGCCTGGAAATGGCCAAAACCCCTCTAAAACCAGCCTGGTCGACCAGCTAAAACCAACCAACAAGCCTAGGCTGGTTTAAGCTGTTTTTTCAGTAGGGAAATGTTACCTAAAATATTATTGAAAGCTCAAAACATTACGTTTATCCACCTTCAAATTAAACCGTCTCTCTTTTACATGTATGTGTAAGGGAATATTGAACCCACAAGCTCAAAAGAGTTGAGTTGTTTAATCATTTCAGGCATGGCCTTCCTAAAGTTAGTCAAGTTTTTTTTAACTCTAACAATACAAATATAGACGTCGGACATGCTCAAAACAGAATGAACGCTTACAAAAACATCCCAAAAGCTACTTGCACACCTGACACAAGTGCTTCAGCATTACTCTTTTTCCAACTCGCAGGCGCCCTTGTGTGGTTGAATGAGTGTATTACATGAGAAAGCAGTGTCTGGGTCATGTTTTATCTGTATACATTCACCAACCTGATTTCACCAAGTAGGACATGATCCTGGATTGACATCTGTGTTGATCCTGGAACAACATTTTAGTCAGCCAATTAAAAATAAGGGATAGGTTTATCGGTAATGTTAAGTTTAGGCTTACGGTTTATGCACTTGGCAATATAGGGGCCCGCGTCGACAAGCCCCTGTCATTCATTGTGTTTTTGCTGATTATCAATACATTGCCTCTGATCGTGAGCACCGATGCAAAAATTGACCCAGCGTGGAAATGATCGCTAATTCTGTGTGCTGCATGAAAACTCTAATCCAGGAGTGTCCAAACTGCACGCCATGATTTTGCCAAGTATGATGGGATCTATGTTGATCCTGGAATATCATTAGGAATTGGAAAATAAAACCCACACCTACTGGAAAAAACAGCTTAAACCAGCCTAGGCTGGTTGGCTGGTTTTAGCTGGTCGACCAGGCTGGTTTTAGAGGGGTTTTGGCTATTTCCAGGCTGGTTTCCAGCCATTTCCAGCCTGGGCTTAGCTGGTCAGGCTGGGAGATGACCAGGCTGGGAGATAAAAGCTTGATCAGTCTAGCCAGGATGGGAGCCCAGCCAAAACCAGCTATGTCCAGCCTAAATCAGGCTGGTCAAGCTGGTTTTAGCTGGATTTAGCTGGTCAGTTAATAAATTTCCTCATCGCTAGAGCTGGAGCTGCTACTTGAACCATCCATGCATGTTTGAATTGCCAGTAACTTTAACAACAAGGGTGTCAACTTTCTGTCTTCTTTCTCTGTTACAAGTGGGTGTCAGAAGCTCAAAGTTGTGTAGCGCCATCTAGCGTCAAGGAGTGATTTTGCATACTTTGCATACTCGCCAGTGAAAATAGCTTGGGGTTAAATCGGCCTCGGAAAAAAATGCTGACGATAAAGGCAAATGAAAAGCGTCCCGGTGTGTCCCAGCACCGAACACGCACATATAAGAATTGTGACAGGCCAAGCATGGATAATTTTTTTGCCAGATAATGCTAATTTTTAAAATCACCAAAACAAACAGTTATTGAACAGGCTCCACCCCTTTTTTTATATCTCCGCTGTAGTTATAGACACGCCCTGTACTGCCTATTGGCTGACTCTGTGCTCAAAAGTGTCTTTCAAAAATCACTTAGTTCACCTTTATATGTCACTTATTGATATACTCATTGGAAATCCCTGGAGTTTTACTAGGGGTTAATACAAGTCTACCAAACTTTTAAGACTTTATATTGTAATCAATGTCAATACAGTTACCATATACGGTTCTTCGCCTGATAATAAATATTGCCGAAAACATCTGAAGTCTCACTTTGTCGTTTGTCATTTGCTCCTTTTATTCTCATTAGTAAGTCGCTTTGGATAAAAGTGTCTGCTAAATAAGTACATGTGAATGTTAGCAATTAGCCACTTCAAGACAAAAGCTTTTGTTTAGTTTATTTTTTATATATTATATGTCGCAGAATAATGTGTTGAAATAATGTTAACCACAGGCCAGCTTCTCAGGAAGTTAACGTAAATCTTCTTAAAAAACACCCACAGATTTTGAGACGTGGTGTTTTTTTTAGGTTTTGACCTAAAAGAAAAAGTCATCTCTTCATCACAGTTGACTTCATTAGCTTCCAAAGTTGTTCCAAAGATGTTGGCCAAGGATTAATCGAACCGACCACTTGAGATCCTGCTTCTGTTAAAATCACCACAGAGCTTCACATTATCTGGATTCTTCCATCTCTTCACATCTGATGTACCTGCAACCGTGTCGCCTGGGGTTTGAGCGAATCCTCTCGCCGAGCACCCTAGATGGCCACTAGGGGGCGAGATCTCTGCTAGTTTTTTCCTCTCACAGCTAGCAGCTTCAGTGTGCGCACTAGCAGAAGTCAGAGACGTAATCAAAGTCCTTAAAATAGTCCTGGTCTTTGCGTGAAAGGCTCCGGCGTTCTCGAGGCGGCGTCAGTGTTGGAGCCTCGTTCGTAAACTCTGCGTCGAAATTACTGACATCTTCACTGGTAGCGACTGCAGGAACAAATGGAGGAGGAACCTTTCGCTGCAGAAGAGCATCCCAGTCCATATTCTACACAAAGGAGAAGGACATAATGACAATCTTTACAAATATTCTGTTTGTGGATAAGGAGTTATTTGGTTGTACAACAAGTAAGGTTGTACCGATACTGGAATTCGGTACCAACCATGTAAACACAGACACAGTGTGGACACTGGAGAGGGACACTAGAGTGTTTCAAAGTCACGTCAATTAGCTGGTTCGTATATAAGCTGACATAAGAGCGATCCGCGGATGAATCGCGGCTTTAAAATGCTCCAGTGTCCCTGTATCTGTGGTTACACTCAGTAAACAGAGGTGAGTTTGGTGAACTGATGACCGACACGGCCAATCACAGTCATTTCTGTTGAGCACGTGAACACAATGGCCAATCATCGCTGTTTAAAAAACGTGCTCAACAGCACTCAAATGTTAGCAGGAAATGGACTTTTTTAAATTTCACTATTGATTGGTACCAAATTCCAGCATCGTGACAGCACTAGAACCAAGTGGACTTTTGGCAATTTTCGCCAAATTTTATTGCTTTGACTATTTGAAAGCACCAAAACAAACATGCTTGGGCGACATGATTATGGAAAAAATGCCATTGCAATATTTTGTTTGTCTGCGATATATATTGCGATATGAATATAATAGTGTCAGGATTCTGTCACTCTGCTCTTGTTAATTCTTGTTTTAATGGCAGAGTCAAGACACTAGTCCTGTCTTGTCTTGCATGTTGTGCTCGGGTTGAGTTTTCTCGGCTCGAGCACTCATTTTCTGTCATTGTGTGTATTTTGTATGAGCGTTGTCTCGACCACGCTCCCGCTTGACACATACGCACAAGGCCTTTGCACAAAGGCACAAGGCATGCTAGGGATGCACACTCTTGTTCTGGTGTTTATGTTCCTTCTGTCTGCATCAGGGTGTTTTATTTCCAGCGTCTCAGTCTAGTAGGTTTCGATTGGTGGTGGGATGAAGGATGCACCAGCCTGCCTAAGTTTGCATATTTTGTTAATGTTTTCCCCCTCAGGGTGGTTTGTTTTGAATTTAATTAAATTTAATCATAAATAAATACCCATTTTCCCTGGTGCAAATCTGCAATAGTCACATCATAGGATCTGCAAAGCTGAGTTACGATTATAATTAACCTGAAACGACAGTACAGAACTGTATCATCAAACAAGTCGAACCCTAATAAAGTTAAATATTTCCATTTGGGTATTTTTAGGAACTGTGACAGTCTGATGCTGCGTTTACACCAGACGCGGAAGAAGCGTCAAGCGCGAGTGATTTACATGTTAATTCATTGCAAAGACGTGAATGAAGTGGCGTAAGTTAAGTGTTTTGCGCAATTGACACGCTTAACACGCATATCGCATGTTTCGCACGAATCGCTCGAAGTCGATAATCGGAACTTCAGCAGACGATCACGCCATGCTAACCAATCAGGAGCTTGCTGGGCATGATTATGACGAAGGGCCTGTTGTTGGTGTCCCGGGGGGAAATCCTCCTGCTGACACCGACAACAGTTCATCAAACTGGGCTCAGCTAAGCCAGAAGCAATGCTTAAAGATTTCATAATCCAGATTAAGTTTCTGAAGGAGTTTTTTGAACTCACAGAGCTGGGTGCACCTCTGAAAGAATCTAGTGGACTCAGCCACGGCTCCAAACGAATCGATGCTGTTTTTCAGCCTTCCTAAAGCTCATAAACACAGCTATTCTTTCAATGAAATGTTAGCCATTTAGCAACGAAGCTAGAGTCAACGGGCAGACAGAAGCCCTGCGCGTCATGCGAATTCGCGTCTGTTGTAAAGTGAATTTGACGTGCAGATGAAACGAAACTGACGCGCGAATGAAGCGAGTAAATTTAAAATGTTCACGCGTCTATTTACGCGCGAATAGTGCAATTTATCCGCTCTTGCAGTGTCTAGTTTGAACAGCATAAGATTTCAAGCACATTTACACCTCAAGATTGAACAAATATGAATTGTATTTAATTATTTATACGATGAAGACTATACAGCAGGGGTCTTCAACTACCGACCTGTGGGCCAACTGATGTCAAAAATATAACAAGATTCGGCCAACCAAAATAAACAGTTTTGAATTACTCTCAATGTTGTGCAGTCACATATAGCCACTACTGGTTTTGATCTAACATTTAAAGTACTGCACGAATGTAACGAACATAAGCTATCTGTCACGTTCAGTGGGAGGGTAAAGGAGCGAGGACTCAAGTGCAGGGAAAATAAGTAATAAAAAAATAAGATAAAATAAAATGCAAAACAAACTACACAAACTTGACTAGGCACGCTGGTGCATGTTTCATCCCAGCGCCAACCGAAACCTAAAACACCACGCTGCAGACAGAAAGAACATAAACACTAGAACAAGAGTGTGCTTCTCTAGCACGCCCGCGTTAAGCGGGAATGCGCAAGGCGTAAGCACGATCGAGATGGCACTCATATAAATGACACACAATGACAGAATATCGCAATATATAATTGCAGACAAACAAAACATTACAATGTCAGTTTTTCCAATACCATGCAGCCCCAGCATGTTTATTTTGGTGCTTTCAAATAGTCAAAGTAACATCATTTGGCAAAAATTGTCAAAACCCCAAGTTCACAAGAGTGCGCGTCGCTAGCACGCCCAGGCCTTGTGCGTCCGTGTCAAGCGGAGACGACGCTCATACAAATGACACACAATGACAGAAAACAAGTGCTCAACCCAAGAAAACTCGACCCGAGAACAACATGCAAGACAAGACAGGACTAGTGGACTCTGCCACCAAAACAAGAATTAACAAGACCGGAGTGTCAGAATCTTGACACTATTATATTCATATCGCAATATATTTCCCAGACAAACAAAATATAGCAATTGCAGTTTTTTCCAATATCATGCAGCTGAGCATGTTTGTTTTGGTGAAAATTGTCAAAAACCAAAGTTCACTTGGTACCAGGGTTGTCACGATACTGGAATTCGCTACCAATCGATACTGACATTTTAAAAACATCCATTTCCCACTAACATTTGAGCGCTGTTGAGCATGTTCTTAAACACAGCTGATTTGCCGTTGAGCTCAACAGAAATGACTGTGATTGGCTGTGAAGGTCATCAGTTCACCGAAGTGTAAGTGTAAACACAGATACAGGGACGCTGGAGCTTTTTAAAGTTGTGATTCCAACTATATGTCAGCTTATAGACAAACCGGCTGATCGACATGACTGAAATGCTCCAGTGTCCCTGTATCTGTGTTTAGTCTTTTCACACTAAATTTACTGTATGCTTTTATTTGCTTCGGCAAAAAGGAAGTTCATACCCTAAAGAAGGGCTGTTTCTTTATGTCCTCTGCATCTTTCTCGCCAGAGCCCAGCCGTCTCTCAGGATTACGCCTCAGCAGCTGCCAATGAAAACAAGAGTTTACAAACTCAGCCAATCACTGCGCAGCTTTGGGGGGGAAAAAAACAGAGTGTTACCCGTCTCATGATGCCAATGGCTTCAGTGGAGAGGAATCTCGGGTATCGAACTTCATCATTCACGATGCTGTCGAACACCTCCTCCTCATCGTCACCTGGGAAAGGAGACTAAACACACACTCTGCTCTCTTAGTTACTTTATACAGTTGACATCAGAATTATTAGCCTCTCTGTATATTTCTTTTCCCCCAATTTCTGTTTTTAACGGAGAGAAGATTTTGTTTTAATAACAAATTTCTAGTAGCAAATTTTTTTTTATCTTTGCGATGATGACAGCACATAATATTTTACTCAAGATACTAGTATTCAGCTTGAAGTGACATTTAAAGACTTAACTAAGTTAATTTTGTAAGTTAGGGTAATTAGGCAAGTCATCGACGGCGCTTCTGGACACTGTTAACATAGGGCTTCCTTTTGGCACAGTACAGTTTTAACTGGCATTTGTGGATGTAACTACACATTGTGGTACTTGACAAAGGTTTGCCGCAGTAGTCCTGAGCCCATGTGGTGATATGGCTTATAGATAAATGATAATTCTTGATGATCAAAGATTGTTGTTCAGCTCAGGCTTGCGCTCTTGTCATTTACGCACTAAAATTCCTCCCGATTCCTTAAATCTTTTAATGATGTTCTGCACTGTTGAAGGTGAAATATCCAAATGTCTTCCTGTCTTTCTCTGAGAAACATTGTTTTTAAACATTTCAATCATGTTCTCATGTATTTGTTGGCAAACTGGCGATCCTCAACCCAGCTTTGCTCCTAAAGGACAAGACCTTTCTAGGATGCTGCTTTTGTAGCAATTCATAATACAATCACCTGTTGACATCACCTGTCTCAAATCAGATGATTATTTCACCAGTTTACCTGATCACTGCCCTACAATACTCCTGTCACAACTGTTTTTGGAACGTGTCGCAGGCCTGAATGTAAGAAATTAAGAAATCAAATGAAGCTGACCAGACAAAACTTGAAATATTTTGTGTTTGTATTGTCTGCAATGAAATACAAGTCAAAATCAATTTAGAAAGCCCTACGTTCTTTGTTATTTGCATCCTTCATAGTGTCCCTATTTTTTTCTGATCTGCAGTTGTACTTTTTAAGAGCCTACACCTACACTTTTGTTTCGGAACGTGTCTCGTTTGCCCAGTTAGCGCGGTTCGATTCGCATATGTGAACAGGGCAATCGCGCTCTGTTCCGCGCCAAAGTAATCGCTCCGAGATCGCTTGAATGAGGGGGTCTCGGCTCGATTGAAACGAACCCTGGAGCGGTTCGATTGCAGTGAGAAAGCGATCCGATCCTAGCGCGGTTATATCACAGTGTTTTATGGATATATGTAATAGGCTTACGGCTATATGAAGAGAGAATTATGAGTATGGCGGGAAGTTTCGCGAGTCTCCGGATGCCCGCAAACGAGTGATGATCTCCCGGTAATCTCGCGTCTCTCTCCCGGTCCTCAAATAGGCACCGTCGCGTACCCTTCTCACCCCTCCCCACCACGTCTCTCCTCAGACACGTCGCGCGCGCACCGTCAATCACCACCAAACCACCACCTCTCCTGACAGCTGAGCGGGACGCTGCAAAATAAACCCTGACACTCTGACCAATGTAAGGAGAGTTTACTCGCACGTGACTTGTTTTAGCTCTTTTGGTCCGATTAGAAACTTTGCAGTGTGAAAGCGAACCGCACCAAGAGCAAAGAGCAACAATGTAACAATTTTAATCTCTGTTTCGGAACAACTGAATCGATTCACAGGTGTGAAAGCACCCTAAGACACCGCAGACACCCTTAGTTAATACATAGATTTAATAACTGAAACATTTGTTGAAAGCTTCATGTATATGGATAGTTGGTGATTGGATGGTTGTTGGCCCAATTAGGTTTACATGGACACAGAAGACCTGTTTAAAATGATTCAGGACTTCAACACAATATTTCTCAAACCGAAGAAGGCCTGATATTTTGTTTTTGAAACGCAAGACATTTAATGGCCACCCTGTATTTAAATGTACATTTATTTACTGATATTACCAGTGGTGCAAAATAACAAATTGCAAATACTCAGATTACTGTAATTGAGTAATTTTTCTCAGAAATTGTAATTTACCAAGTAGTTGCACTTTAAAAATGTGTACTTTTACTTTCCCTTAAATACATTTTTACTGCAATATCGGTACTTTTACTCCACTACTGTCCTTCAACCTGCAGTTACTACTTTACTTTTCCCTGTTTATGGGGATTAAAAAAAATCAGTCCTGTTATTTCTGTCCAATCAAATCACACAGAGAAGATAAATCGCATCATAATGAACTCAAGACATGGGCGATTTATAAATGCAGCAAACTGTTTGGAAGCATTAAAAGTGTCCAAGAAGATGTCCAAAATCTTTACACGCGTTGACCCAGAGACTGTTTAGATGCAAGTCACTGTTGAGAAGATGACGGATGTTTACTGTATGATGACCAAAATGGCTTTAAACACCCAGCAGGCACAAGACATTAACATGACGTTGTACCCTAACATCGTAGGGAAGTTGCAATTTGTTCGGAAATAAAAAACAAGTTGACGTCAGAACTCAACGTCAATGTCCAATGCACAACCTAAGGCCATCCAAATATCAATGTTTAATGATGTTACAGTTTTACGTTGAGTGGACGTTTCCACTAAGACGTCTATCAGATGTTGGATATTGGTCGCGATGCCTGATGAATAAATGTCAGTATGTGACGGTTTAAAAATTTGGCTCGACTTTGGATTTTGGTTTCTTTCTAATAACCTAAAATCAACCAAATATCAGCGTCATTATTGAACATCAAGATAACGTTGTCCTTAGATGTTGGCTAGACATTGAATTTTGTTCACCTGACATCACAACCTAAATCTAACCTAATATTAACGTCTTATGACGTTGAGTGTCTGCTGGGCAAAAACTAAATGCACTACAGAATGTTACGTTTACACACATCCACAAATTACATGTCAATGCCTCAACTTTTTAATACTGACTATTCTTGAGTACTTTTGAAAGGGGTACTTTTTACTCATACTTTGAGTAATATTAACAACAGATACTTTTACTCTACTCGAACTACATTTTAGACAAGTAACAGTACTTTTACTTAAGTTTGATTTTCCAGTACTCTTTCCACTACTGAATCTAACGATATAGAAACACGTCATTAAAAGTGAGCAAGTGCGCACCTCTCCGACCATCATCTCATAAATGAGCACTCCGAGACCCCACCAGTCCACGGCCCGCGTGTAGGATGTGTCCGTCAAAACCTCAGGAGCCAGAAACTCTGGAGTCCCACAGAAAGTGCTGGTGCGGTCCCCGTGACCCATTCCTGCAGGACAGAGAGAGAGAGAGAGAGAAATTAAACAGACAGAAAGAGCAGGACATTATGGACTTTGTCTTCTTCACACAAGTAGTGTTACGAGTAGTGTAGTGTAGGCTTGTGTGTGTGGTGTTTCTCTCTCGCTCTCTTTCTCTTTCTCTCGCTCTCTCTCTCTCTCTCTCTTTCTCGCTCTAAGTATTCGCAGGTGCAGCGGATTACGTTGGGACGGATCATGATTGGCGGCGGCTATAAAAACCTGCAGAGAACATGGGTTCGATGGCTCCCCGCTCTCTCTCGATTCCCCCGCTTGTATCCATTGGAGAAAGTGATCCAATGAGTGTTTGCTTGTATCTCTTTGTGGCTTTGTGAGATGCCGTTGTGATAATTTTTAACCGGCGATTGAAGTCCGGTTTTCTGTCTCCCTGTCGGGCTTGGAGCATGCAGGGAGGTTTGGTGCTTTATTTGTTATTTTCGTTTTCTCTTGTGTTTGTTAGTAGAGACGCAAGTTTTCTGTATTTTATTTTATTTGTTTTCTAGGGAAGTTTAATCTAATTTAGTTAGCTTGGTTTATTGTCATTTCTTTTGGCTAAACCCCTCCTGATGTTATTTTTGCTCCTTATTTTGGTAAATAAATCATATTTTCTTGTTAATTCTCAGTGGTTGTGTTTTTGTTATATATTTTGGGGAGAGAGAGCGCGGGGGCACCAGGGATTTTATTTTTAATCCCTGTTATTTTCTTACGTTTTGGGTTAAATCTCTTTTTGATTAGGGATTTTTAATTTAATTCGTAACACACAGTATGCAGATCCATTTGCATGACATGATATTCCGTTTACGATGAGATCAATTGGTCAGACTTTATTTTGATGGTGCGTTTGTTAAATGTAAGTTGCATTGCATCTATATGCCAACTAATTCTCATTAGATTATAAGTAGACAGTTAGGTTGGGGTTGAGGTTAGTGCAAGTTGACATATACTTGCAAAGTTTCTTATAGTCAGTTAAATGTCTGTTGAAGGAGCAGTATCAGGAGATATTAAGCAGACAGTCCACTATTACTCAAATAGACCATCAAAATAAAGTGTTACCGATAAATTAAGCAATATGAAAAAGTACAAAATAGTGTGCTTCACAAAGGTGAGTGGGCTTGACAAACCACCTGTAGAAACAAACTTCACTCTCCTCTCAACCTTACTCCAGCATTTAATTCTCTAAGCACTGAGGGTGTACTCACACTATGTACAGTTGCCTTGAACCGGGCCAAAGCGCGCTTGTCCGCTCTCCTGTCTCCCCTGACGGCCCGCACTCACATTACATTCGGGCCTGGGCACGCTTTTGTCATCGATGATGCGCTCATTAGTAAGCGCTTACGCTCGTCTCAGTGGAGATTTCTTCAGTAAGAATGATTAATGAATGCATATGAAACGGTTCCATTAAAGTCACGTCTCGTCTTCAGTTTTGGGCTCTGGCGCGCTTTACACTCGCACTAAGCGTACTGCGAAGCGTACCGATTCGGATAGCATAGTGTGAGTATGCCCTAACAGTGTCTTTGTAACGACGGGGAGTGACACCAACAACAGAAGTTTGGATCCACGTGCAGGTTTATTAGAATTGTCAGGCAAGCAGTGGTCAATACCGGCAAACAGATATATGAGGGCAATCCAGAGTCGAAGTCAAAACAACAGGCAGTTGGTCAGAGGCAGGCAGCAAACAGCATTAAATAAATAAACAAGGCAAAGGATCAAAAACACGGCAAAGACAGACAAAGGAAACGCGTTGTAATGTCACTGTGACATAACAAGACTCGGCCATGTGAATGAGTGTGTGTGCTGCTTAAATACTGTGTGTAATCAGTCTTGAAGCAGGATCATCTGTGGGAGTCTAATCAGTGGAGACTTGGAGCAGGTGTGTGTGTGTGGCATGACTGAATATGTAGATTATCAGCAGATTTGTAGTCCTAAGTGTGTGTGTGTGTGTTTACCAGCGACATCTGGTGGTTGTTCGCTGGTGAACATGACAGTCTTTGTATAATTAGCTCTTCTTATGTGTATTGCTTATTGCCTCTTCTTGTTAAATCGCTGAATGCCTCCTCAATTCTAAGTCGCTTTGGACAAAAGCGTCAGCTAAATGATTAAGCATACATAGTTTTATATCAGGAAACTATCTTTTACGGAAATTGATAGTTTAATAAAGCAAGGATGCATTAAATTACATGCACACATATTTATTCGGCTGATGTTTGATTCATTTAAAGCTATCCCCATTTTTTTGAGTATGCCTCAGACAGGTGAGTGGGCTTGACAAACCACCAGTAGAAAACACACTCTTTCATCTCTCTGACTGACATTTGCACCAGACACTTTCTTACAATCACTCCATAGCTCTATAAAAACATTGTGCATTAATAAAGTGTGCCTCATACTAGTTAGTGAGTTTGACAAACCACCTGTAGTGACTCTCTTCTCTCCATTTGCACCGCACACTTTACTTAAACTCCATCTTATGCTGCGTTCACACCAGACGCTGAAATAGCATCAAGCACGAGTGATTTACATGTTAAGTCAATGCAAAGGCGTGAATAGACATCCTGGAGCGCGATACGCGCGAATGGTGCGCAAGAATCACGTAAACGGCGCGGTAAGAATGGCGTGGTGCGACTTAAGCATTTCGCTCGTTTGACGCGCTTAACACGCATTTCGCGCGAATCACTCCAGTTTAAAATCTGACCAATTAACCAATCAGGAGCTTGCTCTTGTGGGGGCGTGATTTCGACGTAGCGCCTGTTGTTGGTGTCCTGGGTGAAATTCTCCAGCCGACACCGACAACAGTTCATCAAACTGGGCTGGGCTCAGTCAGAAGCACCGCTGAAAGCCTCCATCATCCAGGTTAAGTTTCTGGAGGAGTTCATGAACTCACAGAGCTGGATGCACCTCTGAAAGGATCTAGTGGACTAAGACATGGCCCTAAACGTATCGACGGTGATTTCAGCCTTCCTAAAGCACATCAACACAGTTATTTTCCTAATAAAATCCATGTTAGCCATTTAGCAACGAAGCTAGAGTCACCGGGCAGACAGAAGCCCTGCCCATCACGTGAATCTGCATCTGTTCTAAAATGAATTTGATGCGCAAATGAAGCGGATTTGACGCGCGAATAAAGCTGGGTTTGATGCGCGAATGAATCGGATTTGATGTGCGAATGAAGCGAGATTTGATGCGCAAATAAAGTGGGGTTTGACGAGCGAATGAATCGGATTAGACGTGCGAATGAATCGGATTTGATGCGCGAATGAAGCGAGATTTGATGCGCAAATAAAGTGGGGTTTGACGAGCGAATGAATCGGATTAGACGTGCGAATGAATCGGATTTGATGCGCGAATGAAGCGAGGTTTGACACGCGAATGAATTGAGGTTTGACACGCGAATGAATCGGATTTGACAAGCAAATGAAGCGAGTAAACTCAAATGTTTACATGGCTATTTACGTGCGAATAGCGCAGTTTATCCGTTTGTTCCGCTTCTGGTGTGAACACAGCATTACAATGACTCAATAAGGAGAACAATGTTTATTTGAGATTGAACTTGTTTTCCTACAACTTAAATACCTCTTTTTATTTTATTGTCTTGCACAATATTGTTCTGTCTTGCGTATAATTAGTTGTTTAAACGTATGGTTTATGTATAGTATTTGCATAGTACAGTTAGTTTACGGCTTCGGTATGCTAGTTATGTATACTTTATTTTTAAAATAGCTCTGGTGTTATGTTCATATTTATGATGGCATGACATTTTGTTCCACTGAATGTTCGCTTGACAATAATGCTCAACTTGAACTGAATTCAAAAGCAGATGCAAAAATTGCAGCTTTGCATTACTGGAAATATATCTTTGAACATCAATCAATAACATTTGACTACTTATAACAGTTCTAAACTTGAAGTCTCAAAGAAATTATTTCACAAAAAACATTAAAGCAAGTTATTAAACATATAATGTTTATTAAATCACACACAGTTTGCAGTAGGCTAGTAATCTGCACGCAGATTGTGCCAGAGTGGTCTGATCCAGCAGAAAACACACATTATGTTCTTACCGCATTAACGCATCAATATCATCACAATACAGTAAGTACAGTACGTGACTCACCCTCTTTACAGAGGCCGAAGTCTGCGATTTTCACATAACCTTCAGTATCCAGAAGCAGGTTGTCCAGCTTCAGATCTCTAACACACATGCGCACACACACACAGAAGAAAATAAAGGGATAGTTCACCCAAAAATGAAATTTACTCCCCATTTACTCTCCATCATATGGTTTAAAATTTTAAATAAATTATAGTAAATACTATAGAGTTTCTGAACCATACTATTGTTAAGTGTAATATACTGTTTACATCGTAGTGCTTTGTTTATGAATATCTTGTTAATGAATCAATAATGTAGTATAGTTTAGTTTTTACTACAGTAAGCTGTGGTGATTTGTAGTATAATCTACCTTATAGTTGGAGAAAACTCCAGTATTGGTCATTTGTGGCTGTTGCTAGATTGGATACAGTTGAGGCCGGAAGTTAACAAGAATTATTTATATTGTTTATTAAATTTCCCATTGATTGTATTTTATTAATGTCTACCACTATCCCAACCCTAAACCATCACAGTACCGTAAAAATATTACTTATTGTTATACACTGTCATAAAAATGATGCTGTATTGATGTGCATATCTGCAGCTGTATCCTGTCTAGGTTTTACCATCAGTTGTTTGTATTACTGTATTTCCTGTGTTACCATAGCAACTATAGGATGAAAACAGAATAGTGCTTACCGTAGATGTTATTATAGCAATTATAACATCACCACAGAAGATTAATTACAATAGTAGTCTTACCATAGCAATTACAGAATCACAACAGAATATTAATTACTATAGTTGTGTTGTTCCCATAGTATTTTTAGAATCACAACAGAAGATTAATTACTATAGTTGTGTTGACATAGCAACTATAGTATTACCACAGAAGACTATTTAATGTAGTTTGTTACCATAGTAACAACAGTATCACAACAGATTAGTTACAGTAGTTGTATTACCATAGCAACTATAGAATCCCCACAGGAGATTCATTACTATAGTTGTTGTTTCACCATAGCAGTCATAGAATCACCACAACAAAATAATTTCTATATTTGTTGTTTTACCATAGCAACTATAGAACCACCCCAGAAAATTAATTACTATAGTTGTTGTTTAACCATGGCAACTATAGAATTCCCACAACAGATTAATTACTGTAGTTGTTACCATAGCAACAATAGAATAATCACAGAAAATAAATTAATGTAGTTGTCTTACACTAGCAAATATAGAATCACCACAGCAGATTAATTACAGTAGTTGTGTTACCATAGCAACAAAAGAATCATCACAACAGACTATTACGGTAGCTGTGTTACCATAGCAACTATAGAATCACCACAACAGATTAATTATGGTAGTTGTATTACTATAGCAACTATACAATCACCACAGAGGATTAATGTAGTTGTGTTACCATAGCAACAATACAATCACCACAGAGGATTAATGTAGTTATGTTACCATAGCAACTATAGAATCAGAACAACCGATTAATAACTGTTGTTGTTACCATAGCAACTATAAAATCACAACAAATTAGTTACTGTAGTTGTGCTACCATAGCAACTATAAAATCACAACAGATTATTTATTGTAGTTGTTACCATAGCAACTATAGAATCACCACAGCAGATTAATTACTGTAGTTTTGTTACCATAGCAACTATAGAACTACCACAACAGATTATAACGGTAGCTGTGTTACCATAGCAATTATTGAACCACCTCAACTGATTATTACGGTTGCTGTGTTACCATAGCAACAATATAATCACCACAACAGATTATGTATTGTAGTTGTATTACCATAGCAACTACAGAATCACAACAGATTAATTGTTATAGTTGTTACCATGGCAACTATAGAATCACCACAGATTGTTAATTACTGTAGTTGTGTTACCATAGCAACTACAGAATCACAACAGATTAATTGTTATAGTTGTTACCATGGCAACTATAGAATCACCACAGATTGTTAATTACTGTAGTTGTGTTACCATAGCAACTATAGAATCACCACAACAGATTAATTACCGTAGTTGTGTCACCATAGCAACAATACACTAACCACAACATATTAATTCCAATACTTCAATACAATAGGCTTAAAAACTATAGAATTTACTATGAATCACTATAGTATTTTTCTTCATGTGGGGTTCCAACCTTCTCTGTGTTTCTTTATTCCACTGAACACAAAAGATATTTTGAGAATTGTTAGATACCAGTAGCCACTGACACCCATAGTAAAAATACACTATGTAAGTCAATGGTTACAGGCTTCCAAAACACAAGACAGACAACACAAGACAGACACTCACTTATTATGAACGACAGAATTTTCCCTTTACCGTCCCTTTAAGGAGAGTAACATTTAGATTATAAAAACAGCTGTGTGTGTGTGTGTGTGTGTGTGTGTGTGTGTGTACTCACCGATACACAATCTTATTATCATGAAGAAACTGAAGCCCCAAAACTACACATGCAGAATAAAACCTGCAACACAAACAGATAAGACACATAAACAGCAAATCAATATGTCTTCAAACTGTAGTTGATGTCCAGTTTGCATATTTAAACACACTTGCACTTGATGTAACTCTCAATCTTCTGATTAATCAAATGGGATAAAAGTGCAGCTGAATTGTTGACGCTAGTAACAGTGGTGTTTGATGTACTGAAAGTGTCAGCTAAATGTAAACGTAGATGAAAGTCTCACACAGAGCGTGTTTCAGAGAAGACGTCTGCATGTATGTGCATCATCAGGTCTCCGCCGGCCGTGTACTCCATCACGAAACACACGTGTTCTGGCGTCTGAAAGCACGCAAACAGGTTGACCAGGAACGGGTGCTGTGCGCTGTTCACCGTCTCGAAGATTCGCTTCTCACACATCAAACTTCAACACAAATACACAAGTAAGGCTGAAGATGAAGGTGTACTTCTGTGTTTTAAAGACAATGTATATCTGTATATCCATGCTCTATAAATATTCTTTAAACAGAGGATAGAAATACATTTGCAATACAATTTTACTCTAAAACAATAAAACACTAAGCAGTGCTGGGCAAAGATTAATAGTATTTAATCACATCCAAAATTTAAGTTTGTTTTGATATAATATCTGTGTATATTATTATATATATTGTTATGGTCATTAGCTGGAGTACCTACCAGACTCACTAGAGGGCACTCCAGCTATGTGGACACGCCATCATACGTTCACCTGGACTACACATCCCATCACGCATTGTGCCAATCAACCATCTACAGCTGATATCAATTCAGACTCTGATCATCCCCACTATCACCTGTTTTGCCACGCCTCATCATAATATATATATATATATATATATATATATATATATATATATATATATATATATATATATATATATATATATATATGCCCAGCACTAATAATAAGCATACACGCACCTCTCCACCTCATCCCGTGCAACGATGTCTCCTTTCTTCAGTGCTTTGATGGCGTACAGATTTCCCGAGCGTCTGTATTCAGACAGGAGTACCTGGAAACAATCACATCATACTTGGTTTAGGCTCACTGGATTTACTTGCCTCTGCCTGCATTTTTTTGTAAAGTGTAGAATGCGTTGCTTCGGGTATCGTTACACATTTCAGATGACAAATCCACTAGTGGGCACTGTCTACATTTTTAAGAAACGTAAACACGTTACTTGGGGTTACATTCTGTTGTATGTTTAAATGACAAATCCACTAGAGGGTGCTGTCTAGGGCAGTGGTTCCCAACTGGTTTGGCCATGGGACCCACATTTTTACATGGTCATCAAGCCGCGACCCAAATTTTTAGGAACTATAATATGATTTTAGTAGGGATGTAACAATATTGTAAATACCGTCATACCGCAATAGTAATTTTTTTTCAATTTTACCTTAGGCGCATGACTCAATAAAACTATATTTCTGAGAAAAGTTTGCTTAGGTTAATAAAGCGAACGGGAGGTAGCGGGAACTACAATTCCCATCAGCCTAGGCGTGGCCATCATCCTTTGCGGTCTGTTGTCACTACAGATCCAGTAATGCAGAAATGGAGTGTGCTGCTAGTAGCGGGGAAGAAAAAGAGCTGGAAATGATCGAACCTAAAGCGGGTTTTAAATCGGATGTGTGAAAGCATTTCGGTTTCTTTCTAAAAAGATACGAGAAAGGAGAAAAGGTGACAGATAAAGAAAAAAACAGTATGCAGGCACTGCCAGACTGTGGTGAAATATAAGTCTGGGAATACGACTAATAACAGTCATGGGGACTGCAGAACACAGCACACTGCTCAGATTGATGCAGACATTGACTTGTACCGCAAAGAGACCTCTATCTCACTCATGGCTTGTCCTCTCAAGTGGTGGAAAGACAATGCACAACGTTACCCACTGCTGTCAACCTTGGCTAAATCATATCTCTCTGTCCCAGAAACCTCAGTCCCAAATGAGAGGTTTTTTTTTTATCTGTTGCAGGGGACATGCCCAGAGATCCCAGCTTTTACCAGATTATAGTTATATGATAATTTTCCTTAAAAAACCCATCTCTATCTCAGTGAGTGAGTGATTAAATGTTGAATGTGATGAGTTTCCAACAATACTAAATTGAAACTTAATTTTTTTTATATGGTTTAATAGTTTTTTGTTATTAAAATTGAAAAATTGAAGTTCCTGTTTCGACACTTCCAGATAGATGGCTAATTTGGATGTCATTGATATGTTCAGTGCTAAGGTAGATAAACACTTTTGGCACTTTTTTCGAGTCTTTTCATTAGTTTTGTTTTTCCTGTAAATTACTCAATAAATACTGTACCGTGCCATTCATACCGAGGTATTATCCTACCGTGAAATTCTGATACCGTTACATCCCTAGATTTTAGGAATTGGAATTCATTTGTATTTATTTGTTAACATACACAAGTTGTGACAGATAAATCATTAAAAAAAATCACAAAAACTTACAAATAAAAAATATTTTATTGCTTTTATCAGCAGCAGGGTGGATTACTGTAATGGACTCCTCACTGGCCTTCCTAAAAAGACAGTCAGACAGTTACAGCTCATCCAGAACGCTGCCGCCAGAATTCTGACCAGAACCAGAAAATCAGAGCACATCACACCTGTCCTCAGGTCTCTACACTGGCTGCCAGTTACATTCAGAATAGATTTTAAAGTATTATTACTGGTCTATAAATCACTAAATGGCCAAGGACCTAAATACATTACAGATATGCTCACTGAATACAAACCCAACAGATCACTCAGATCATTAGGATCATATAAACTAGAAGTTCCAAGAGTTCAGTCAAAGCAGGGTGAATTGGCTTTCAGCCACTATGCCCCTCGCTGCTGGAATCAGAGTCCAGAAATGATCAGATGTGCTCCAACATTAGGCACATTCAAGTCAAGACTGAAAACACATCTGTTTAGCTGTGCCTTTACTGAATGAGCACTGTGCTGCGTCCGACAGATTGCGCTATTATGTTTTTCTCTTCTTCTTCATTCTTTTATATCACATTTTACCTGTTTTTATGTTTTTTAATCAGTTTTATTATTTGTTTTTATTTATTTATTTTTTTACTTGTTTCTTTTATTCTTGTTTATGTAAAGCACTTTGAATTGCCACTGTGTATGAAATGTGCTATATAAATAAACTTGCCTTGCTTTGCCTTGCTGTCATTTTACAAAATGTATCAAATTAAAGAAATATTACAAAGTAAAAATGACAAATACTGTAAACAGTGGTCAGGGTAAAGAAAAGTTCAGTTACCATTAACTAAACTAAACTGTTTATAAAACATTAACACTGATCCGGTTAAACAGAACAAACCAGCAAATTAAAGTCAAATGATTAAAATAATCATAACAATTTTTATAATAATCCTCAGTTATTTGCTCTTTTGATTTTGTGTGGGCTTTCTTGGCCTTTGCTACACGGTTGAGCTCATTGAGGGTGAGCTACACAGTTAAATGCGTGGAGTGCCTGTACTTGTTTTGAACATGAAGGGCCCTATCATACACCTGGCGCAATGTGGCGCAAGACGCAACGCAATTGCTATTTGCTACTTTCAGCTCGGCGCAAGGGTCATTTTGAGCTGTTGCGCCACACTGTTCAAATAGCAAATGCATTTGCGCTCATATGTGCGCCCATAGGTGTTCTGGTCTAAAAAAGCAGGCGTTCTGAGGCGGATCGCTGGCGCGTTGCTATTTTGAGAAACTGTAAATATTCTGTTCTTTAGACCAGAACAAAGTCGGTCTATTGTTTGGCGAAAAGTGCGCCTGGGCTTACATACTACAAACAAGATACAGAGCAATACGCAAATATCTTTACATATGAAAAAGATATAATATATTAAGGATATATATAATAAGGATATATATATATATAGGATATAAATATAGGTTATAAATACAAATGATTAAAATATTACAAAACATATTCCTTTCTAGCCTACATAAATATAAAAACCACTGCCTTACTTTCTTTATCTCGGGAGGCTTTTTCAGTTCATTCATAACAATTTGCTTTTGTATAATGTCATTATTAGCACTATTATTTATTATATCCATATTTATATTTGTTTTATTAAAAACAAGCTTAGATTTGTCCACCTGTCAGGTTTTAGACCATATGGGGAATAGCAGGTGTATTAGGAAACAACTCAGTATTTTAATCACACTACGTTATCAATGTTAATTTATTCGTTTGCTGGAAATTAGAACTGAATTTAGAAATAGTTTTGAAACAAATCTTTGCGCTTAACAAACTAAATTAATAATTGATAGGCTAGTTGATGTCTGTGCGTAAAGGCTTCCCTATCCACGAGAGCAAAAGCGAAAGTGAACTTACTTTGCATCCTGTAAATAGCGAATGCACTCATGACGCGACGCAGCTGGCTCTTAAAGGGAATGGGAGATGAGACTCTAATTGGTTTATTCTCAAAACACACCTATAACTCATTAAGAAAATAAACTCAACCCTTTTAGACCATGCACCACGGCGCAAAACGGATTTTCCCGTCTTTAAATTAGCAAGTATGGATTCTGGTACGCCCTGAAAGCGTTTGCGCCCTGCGGTTTGCATTTGCGCATGGACCGTCAAAATAGAGGCCGAAGATGTTCGGCACTTTTGTGATGCCCTCAGCTCTTGGAGTAGCCTTAGAAAAAAGTCCACAGGTTTGTCCTTGCAACTGGGATGTTTGGTTTCTAAATGTCGTTTTAATTTAGAAGGTTTCATGCTGTCTTGTAAGAGCACCTCACTACACATGACAAGGTTTTAAGCCTTTTTTTGTTGTCAATATATGTAAATCCACACTTTACATGTTAGGGGTCGTACTTGCGCTTAAACGGTATGATTGTCACGCACATTTCAAAATAAAAGTCAGATTTAAGCAAAATAAGTAAAAAAAAAAAAAAAAAAAAACTTTCGTTCATTTTTTTTTTTACCACACACTCCGCGACCCACTACCACCAGTTGAGAAACACTGGTCTAGGGCACTATTTACAATTTAGCTAATCTGAAATACGTTTATTAGGGTACATGTTGTTGTACGTTTCAGATGACAACTCCACTATAGGGCACTTTGTAAAATTCTGGCAAACAAATACGTTACTTTGGGTACATTTTTTGTATGTATCAAATAGAGGTGGTAACCTATACTGGTCTCACGGTTCGGTTACGATTATCATGCCTTCGATTCGGTTCAATTCGATATCTCGGTGCATCACGCTGCATTGACGATGCTTTCTATATACAGTGTTATATTTTAGGGGGGAGGCTATAACAAGCTGTCTGTATAAACACACAGACACACAGCACCACACTGCTTCTGCGGAGCACAAAAATGAAAAAAAAAAACTAAAAAAAAGAAGCACTTTTCCGATGGTCCCTTACTGAGAGCTCAACTTTGCGCGAGCTCTCCCGGCTAAACACATATTACGAGGGCTTAAACGGAGCAGTGCTCGTAATGTCGAGTGAAAAAAAAAGAAAGACAGCTGTGAAACATAACCAGCTTTGTCTTTCTGTAGGAAACACACTTTAGATCTTTTTAGGGTAAGAGGTTTTTGAGTTATTGCCGTCTGTAACTGAATGTGTGTCAAGAATATCGAAAACAAAACCAACTGAACCGCGCTCATTTCTGGCGCCCCCCTGGATGTACAGCGCCCTTAGCATTTGCCTATGGTGCCTATGCCACGGGCCGGCCCTGAGTTGCCTGAGCGTTGTAAATACTCGCGCTCACCTCCCTTGCGACAGAGCGCATAGGAGATAAATGACGTCAGTACATAATAACCGGTTATGATTATTACTGAACCGATACAGAATTTTCCGCATCTGCATCACTGTGCACCGAAGAAACAATTAATTTTGACACCCCTAGTATCAAATGAGAAACCCACTAGAGGGTGGTATCTGGAATTCTGCAAAATATAAAATATGTTACTTTGGGTACATTTTGTTGCATGTTTCAGATGACAAATCCACTAGAGGGCGATGACTACAATTTTGTGCAACATAAATATTAGGGATGTAACGGTATCAGAATTTCACGGTACGGTAATACCTCGGTATGAATGTCACGGTACAGTATTTATTGAATCATTTACAGGAAAAAACAAAACTTATGAAAATACTCCAAAAAAGTGCCAAAAGTGTCAATGACATACAAATTAGCCATCTATCTGTAAGCTTTGAAACAGGAACTTCAATTTTAATAACAAAAAACTATTAAACCATGTAAAAAAATAAAGTTTCAATTTAGTATTGTTGAAAACTCATCACATTCAACATTTAAACACACTCAGCCCATCTACCCAGATGAGAGCTCTGCTAGTCGGACTTCTCATCAAGCATCTCCCGCTGGATCTAATCTCACTATATTTATTAAACGGGATATTTCATTCATCTTGTTGTCTTTATCTAACGACATATTCCCTGACTTTGGTCATTAGAATCTATTACTTGTTCTCAGGTAACGTGTTTTGGCTGAGCGCAAAGATAAGTTAATGATTAATGTAACCACGTACATTCTGTATATTGATCGCTTGCCTTTATTTCCTATAATGTATAAACTTATTGTATGTTATACTTTTATAATGGCCATTATCGATTCTTAAAACTGATATTCAGCAAAACAGAGGCTGTGTTTCGTATTTTCACTGAAATTGAAAGGAGGCAGTTGTTATCGGCTCCGTTTTGTTATAAATATCCACACAGTGAAGATGACGCTCATATATGCAGCACGGTGCCTCAACATTTCTGCTGTCTAAGTTGCTAATATTAAAATGAAAATAGGCAGTTCCTTAAATCATGTTTACATTTTATTGTTGAGAAAGTGAAACAACGAAGCCAGGGTGATGTGAATGAAGTTATAAAGTACACTGTTCCCTTTGAAGATTTACCTGTGTCCTCGGTATAGTCTGTTTTCCATATCAAACTGAGAAGAAGAGACTGCAGCCTTGATCAAACTTGCGAAGTCTGAACTTACACGGAGAGAATGCAGGACTAAACTGTGCGTGTAAAGCAGGTCGCACACCAGAAGCGACGCTCGGCGGCGCGCCGCGCAGCGCCATGTATTTTAGAATTCTAATCATAGGTTTCTATCAGGATACACACACCGGCGCAGCAAGTCGGCGGCTGTCGGCGGCGCCCGGCGACGGCTCAGGACGCAGTTCATTTTTCAGCCGCGCCACAGAGCGCCATCTGATTAGTTTCATGTTAAATATCATTCGAATGTGCGCGTCTGGTTTGCGATACTTTAATCTGTCATGTACGCGCCGTGTCGCAGACCCGAGCGGCGCTTCTGGTGTGCGACCTGCTTTAGAGTTTTCCAGCTCTTTTCATCCCCGCTTCTAGCAGCACACTCCATTTCCGCATTACTGGATCTGTAGCAACAACAGACCGCAAGGGATGATGGTCAAGCATGGGCTGATGGCAATTGTAGTTTTCGTTACCTCCCGTTCGCTTCATTCGCCTGAGCAAATTTTCTCAGAAGACCTATAGTTTTACCAAGTCATGCGACTTCGGTAATATCGAAAAAAATTAATATTGCGGTATGACGGTATTTACAATACCGTTACATCCCTAATAAATATGTTACTTTGGGTTGCATATTGTACAATTCAGATGACGAATTCACTAGACGGTGCTGTATGCATTTTTGCAAAACGTAAATACGTTACTTTGGGTACATTTTTTTGTATGTTTCAAATGAGAAATCCACAAGAGGGCGCTGTCTAGAATTATGCAAAATGTAAAATATGTTACTTAGGGTGCATTTCATTGCACGATTCAAATGACAAATCCATTAAAGGGTGCAGTCTACATTGTCTACAGTCTACAAATGTTTAGCGTACATTTTGTTGTATGCTTTAGATGATAAACCCACTAGAGGGTGCTGTCTACATTTTCGAGAAACAAATACGTTACTTTGGGTACATTTTCCATTAAATCCACTAAAATCCAAATCCAAATCCACTAAAGGGCGCTATTTACAATTTAGCTAATGCTCAGATGACAACTCCATTAGAGAACGGACTTTATATTTCTGTAAGTCTGAAATACGTTACATTAGGTACATTTTTTTTTGTATGTTTCATAAGAGAAATTCACTAGAGGGCTTTGTCCACAATTTTGTGAAACGTAAATATGTTACTTTGGGTTACATTTTGTTTTACGTTTCAGATGACAAATCCACTAGAGGGTGCTGACTACATTTTTGCGAAACGTAAATATGCTACATTGGGTAACATTTTGTTGTACGTTTCAGATGACAAATCCACGAGAGGGCGCTGCATTCATTTTTTGTGAAACGTAAATATGCTACTTTGGGTAACATTTTGTTGTATGTTTCAGATGACAAATCCACTAGTAGGTGCTGTCTACATTTTTGCGAAACGTAAATATGTTGCGTTGGGTTGCATTTTGTTGTATGTTTTAGATAATAAACCCACTAGAGGGTGCTGTCAACATTTTTGCAAATTATAAATACATTACTTTGGGTTACATTTTGTTGTACGTTTCAGATGACAAATCCACTAGAGGGTGCTGTCTACAATTTTGTGAAATGTAAATACGTTACTTTGGGTAACATTTTGTTGTACGTTTCAGATGACAAATCCACTAGTAGGTGCTGTCTACATTTTTGCAAAGCGTAAATATGTTACTTTGGGTTACATTTTGTTGTATGTTTTAGATAATAAACCCACTAGAGGGTGCTGTCAACATTTTTGCAAATTGTAAATACATTACGTTGGGTTACATTTTGTTGTACGTTTCAGATGACAAACCCACTAGAGGTTGCTGTCTACAATTTTGTCAAACGTAAATACGTTACTTTGGGTTACATTTTGTTGTATGTTTCAGATGACAAATCCACTAGAGGGCGATGACT